TGTCGTGTCCCCCCCCCAACCCCTCCCCAGGGTGGCAGATTTGGGGGGGGGACACCCCACAGACGCCCTCAAAGCCCCAATCACCTTCTGCCCCTTCCCACTCCCAAAAAAGGGCAGTTTTCCTACTCAAAGTGATATATTTTGGCAGCAGGAATGTCTTGTCCCCCCCCCCAACCCCTCCCCAGGTGGGGAATGGGGTGGCAGAAGAGGGGGGGGGGACACTCCAAAAACGCCCTCAAAGCCCCAAGCACCTTCTGCCCCTTCCCACTCCCAAAAAAGGGCAGTTTTCCCACTCAAAGTGATATATTTTGGCAGTAGGAATGTCGTGTGTCCCCCCCCAACCCCTCCCCGGGTGGGGAACGGGGTGGCAGAAGAGGGGGGGGGACACCCCACAGACGCCCTCAAAGCCCCAAGCACCTTCTGCCCCTTCCCACTCCCAAAAAGGGGCAGTTTTCCCACTCAAAGTGATATATTTTGGCAGCAGGAATGTCGTGTCCCCCCCCCAACCCCTCCCCAGGGTGGCAGATTGGGGGGGGACACCCCTCAGATGCCCTCAAAGCCCCAATCACCTTCTGCCCCTTCCCACTCCCAAAAAAGGGGCAGTTTTCCTACTCAAAGTGATATATTTTGGCAGCAGGAATGTCATGTCCCCCCCCCCCAACCCCTCCCCAGGGTGGCAGATTTGGGGGGGGGACACCCCACAGACGCCCTCGAAGCCTCTCTCCCTCCTTGGGAGCCACGGGAGGAGGTTTTTATTGACACCCAGAAGATTTGTCCTCCAGCAGGAGCCAAATGGGAGGCGACAGCTGATCCGTCCAGGAAATGGGCAAAATGACTTTTACCCAAGGAAAAAAAAACAACAAAATCAACAAAAAACACAAAAAAGCAACAAAAAACCACAAATAAAACCAGCCTTAAAGTCACCGAGCTGTGACATTTGAAAGCATCTCGGTGCTTCTCCTCCTTCTTCTGGCTCCCGGGGACGATGCCGGGCACCGAAGGGTTAAGGCAACCCCTGAGCTTCCTTATAAACCAGTATAAAACCAGTAAGAAAGGGGGTTTCGAGCCGTTTTGCCCTCCTTATGGCAGGGCCTGGAGGCTGAGGAATGTCAATTATTGAGTGATCAGCTCTCCCAACACCCCTCTATTTCTGTGAGGGGTTTTTTGGGGGTTTTTTTTGGATTCTTTTACAGCCCTAAAAATGAAAATTGAGATGAGAAAGCAGGGAATTTTTATGGTGCCAAACCATAAAAACCATGTTTTTTATGGAGCTTGGTCTTACAACGGCCCAAAAACCCGAATATCTGAGGTATCTTCACATCTCAGTAGATCTCCCACAGCAGGGAAACACTTAAAAGACCCATTAAAACCCATTTTTTTTCCACAACCCTTTATTTTTTTTGGGGGGGACGATCTCATGAATGGATCCCACCGGCCACCAAATCCCTCCTCAATCCCTGGGATTGGGGAAAAAGCACGATATTCCAGTAATTCTGTCTTTTTAATTATTATTTTTTAGCTCGTTTGGCTTTTAAGAGGTGATTTTTAAAATTAAAATAGTTGTTTCTTCGCATCCATCCTCCTCCTCCCTGCCCTAACGCTCCAAAGGGATTATTATCCCATTTATTATCCACAAAAAATGGATATATCCTATTTTATTCCCTGATTCTCTGGAAGCAGATGGGCTTTGGGTGGGTGTCACCCCACGGAGCATCCCCTGAGAACCCCAAACCAGCCCCAATTTCCACCCAAATAAACCCACTAAACCCAGTGGGGAAGCCCCATCTTTACTGGTTTTGCTGGAGACAGGGATTTTTTTCCCACTTCTGCCTGTTTAATGGGATTTTTTTGCCTCGTCACTGGTGCCTCTTACCCGAGAAATTTGTGTATAAATCCAAGAAAGGCACAATATCCCAACTTCCCCGAAATTCTTTAGGTGAATTAGAGAGTGAAAACCGTCGTGCACGACACTGGGAATATTGAGAGTAAACGTAGCCAAAAAAAACCTTATCCAACCATTATTTGGGGGGGAAAAAATAGCAATTTCTCTACTTTCTGTGCAAGAATTATCTATTTAAACCAAAGCGACCTGCTCAACCCCTTCCACAAGGTGTTATCTTCTTCCCACCAGGGTTTTTGCCCAAAAAAATCAGTGTTTTGGTTATGGGGGGGTGTCAGGAGCTGATGGTGGTTTGATACGAGTCTTTTTTTCCCCATTTCTGGTCCAGGGAAGACGGAGCTGGCCAAGCAGACGGCCAAGTACATCCATAAAGATGTCAAAAAGGTAAGATCTGGGGTTTTTTTTGCCCTCAGGGTAAGGGGGTGGCCCCTTGTCCCATCCCCGGCCACCACTGGGAAGAGTCTGGCCCCATCCTCTTGCTCCCCACCCTTTAGCTCTTGCTCAGTATCCATTGAACTTCATCCTGGTTGAACTTCATGAGGTTCCTCACCCAACTCTCCAGCCTGTCCATGTCTTGCTGGATGGTGGCCCAGCCTCTTGGTGTGTCACCTGCTCCTCCCAGCTTTGAGTCACCAGATATCTCAGATTTTATAACACCCAGGGTTTAAAGACGGGCTCCTCAATTCCCAGTTAAGGCTTTGGGATGTTCCTGTGGAGAACGGGGGACGGCGCAGGGGTGGGAGCCTGGAGAAGGAGGGGACACCAACAGAGCTGTCCCCTGCACCCACATGGGGTTCATTCCTCCCCCCAACATCCCCCAATGGAGAAGGGACACCAGATAAAACAACCCATAGAATCACAGCATGGTGGAATCATCAGGGACCTCTGAAGGTCCATCTGAAGGTCCATCTGAAGGTCCATCTCATCCCACCTCCCTGCTCCAGCAGGACCACCTTGGCCCAGTTGCCCCAGAGACACGTGAAAAACAGATCAAAAGTAAAATGGTGCTATAAAAAAATGGGCCTTTCTGGTTTCTTTTCCTCATCCTTCTGTCATTGCCTCCTCCATGAGCCATAAATCCGATTCCCACCTTTCAAGGACCTTCACCCCTGGGGTGGGAGCCTGGAGAAGGAGGGGACACCAACAGAGCTGTCCCCTGCACCCACATGGGGTTCATTCCTCCCCCCAACATCCCCCAATGGAGAAGGGACACCAGATAAAACAACCCATAGAATCACAGCGTGGTGGAATCATCAGGGACCTCTGAAGGTCCTTCTGAAGGTCCATCTCATCCCACCTCCCTGCTCCAGCAGGACCACCTTGGCCCAGTTGCCCCAGACACACATGAAAAACAGATCAAAAGTAAAATGACTCTATAAAAAAATGGGCCTTTCTGGTTTCTTTTCCTCATCCTTCTGTCATTGCCTCCTCCATGAGCCATAAATCCGATTCCCACCACTCGAGGACCTTCACTCCCTTCTCCTGGGGCTGGGAGATGAAGGTCCCTCCGTGCCCAACTGAGCATCCTGTGGGGAAATCAGTCACAGGCTGGATGTTCCCAAAGGATGGGGTGGGGATGGAGGAGGAACAGGAGCAGGGCTGGACCAAAGCCGAGCAGATCCTCCAGGAACGTCCACCAAAACGGTGGTGGGACCCCAATTTTCTCCACCTGGCTCCGCCCCGGGATGTTTTTTACCATTTTCCAAGGAAATGTGGCTGCTTTGACTTGAAATCTGCCCTAAACTGGAGTCATCTCTTACCCCAACCACCCACATCTCACAGGAGAGTGGCAAACCCAGCAGATCATGGAATGGTTTTGGGTGGGAAGGGACCTTAAAGACCATCCAGCCCCAACCCTCCAGCTTCTGGAGGAACCTTCTCAACGCAGCGAAGCTTTGAGTAGATTCATCAAATATGACCTTAAAGGACTTCTTTTTCTTGCAGGGTTTCATCAGGCTGGACATGTCGGAGTTCCAGGAGAGGCACGAGGTTGGTAAATGGGGTTTCCAAGGAATTTAATGGATAATTTAACCAAATCCTCTCAATTCCCTCATCCCCTCACGTTTGGTCCTTCTCCTGGGGAGAGCCCTGAGCATCTCCTCGCTGCCGCTGGAGCATCTCCCCTCTCACCCTGGACCTTCTCAAATTCCTTCCACTTCCCCCCCAAAAAATGGGCAGTGAAAAAGCAATTGCTCTGGGCTGTGCAGGAATTGGGATATTTGAGAAACACCAGGCAGAAAAAGTCAAGTTTAACTCCAAAAAAATTAGGGAGAGAGAACGAGGAGCAAGAAAAGCTTTAAATTTGTGGGTTCCAGTGTGGGATCACCACCTCCACGTACCTCCCGTGGGGAAAATTGGGGAGAAAACAGCAGGAAATGGGGTGGTGGTGCAAAGCCCACTCCTCCTGCCCCGTTCTGGTGTGGTGGGAGAGAGGAGACATCTCACCAGGGTCACCCCCGGACCCAGGGGGACCCTAGATCCTTTTGGAGGGCTTTATCTCCCCAAAAAAAGCTGCAAGATCCTACTGGAGAGTGGTTCATAATGGTTTGCTTTTCTGGCTGTGTTGGGATATTGTGGGTTTTATTGGTTGGGGGTTCAGCCTGGAGAAGAGAAGGCTCCAGGGAGACCTTGGAGCCCCTTCCAGTCCCTCAAGGGGCTCCAGGAGAGATGGGGAGGGACTCTTGATGAGGGAGGGGAGCCCTAGGAGGAGGGGGAAGGGTTTGACCCTGAAAGAGGGGAGATGGAGCTGAGATGTGGGGAAGCACTTCTTCGGTGGGAGGGTGGTGCGAGCCTGGCCCAGGGTGCCCCGAGAAGCTGTGGCTGCCCCATCCCTGGAGGGGTTCAAGGGCAGGTTGGAGGGGACTTGGAGCAACCTGGGCTGGTGGGAGGTGGCCCTGGATGGAGCTGGATGGGCTTCAAGGTCCGTTCCCACCCAAACCATTCCATGATTCCATGATTCTTCCATCCAAGAGGCTCCTTCGTGTTGATTTTCCTTCCAGGGCAGGTCCTTCATCCCTCTCCCCAAACTTTGGGGCTCCCAAAGCCATGATACAGAGGTGGGGGGCAGGGGGGTCCCTTCCCCGTGGTCAACCTTCACGCGTCTCCTCTTGCCTCCTCTTAGGTCGCCAAGTTTATCGGCTCCCCACCGGGCTACGTTGGCCATGAAGAGGGTGGGCAGCTGACCAAGAAGCTGAGGCAGTGCCCTAACGCCGTGGTCCTCTTCGACGAGGTCGACAAAGCCCACCCAGATGTCCTCACCATCATGCTGCAGTTGTTCGATGAGGTAAATTTGGATTTTGGGGGCAGAGATTGGGAGGACCGTTGGGATGGTGATGGCGAGTGGTGCGAGGGACATTGGCTGCAGGAGATGTCCTGGAGTGGAGATGAAATGCTGGAGGTAGCACAGCAGAGCATCATCTGGGTTGGAAGGGACCTTCTAGATGGTGGAGTCCAACCATCAACCCAACCCTGACAAACCCACCACTGACCCATGTCCATCAGCACCACCTCTGCCAAGCTTTGAAGACCCTCCAGGGCTGGTGACTCCACCACTGCCCTGGGCAGCCTCTGCCAAGGCTTCACAACCCTTTCCAGGAAGAAATTCTTCCCAAGCTCCATCCTCAACCTCCCCTGGGGCATCTTGAGGCTGTTTCCTCTTGTCATGAGCATCAATGAGATGCCCTCTCACTCTGCTTTTCTCCATCTGAACAGTCCCAGGTCCATCAGCCTTTCCTCAGCAGAGAGATGCTCCAGTCCCTCATCATCTTCGTAGCCCTACGAAGGGCTCCAACCTTCCACTTGAAGCAGGGCCACCCAGAGCTGGTTGCCCAGGGCCAGCTCTGGTCACGTGGCAAGTATCCCTTCCAAAAACAGATGTGAGCCAACCAGTCAACCCCTTCTCCATTTTAACACCAGGAAATGGCACATCCACGTCCATTAGCTCCATGAGACTCCTCCCTGGCATCTCCAGGAACGTGTTGGCCTCCTCTGGAGACCACTGAAGTCCCAGATAGATCCCTGAACTCCTCCAAGGGACTCGGCCAAGGAGTTTTATGGATGTTGGAGGCACATCCATGCCCATTAGCTCCATGAGTCTCCTCCCTGGCATCTCCAGGAACGTGTTGGCCTCCTCTGGAGACCACTGAAGTCCCAGATAGGAGCTTCAGACTCCTCCATGGGAGGTAGCCAAGGAGTTTTATGGATATGGCAGGCACATCCATGCCCATTAGCTCCATGAAACTCCTCCCTGGCATCTCCAGGAATGCGTTGGCCTCCTCTGGAGACCACTGAAGTCCCAGATAGATCCCTGAACTCCTCCAAGGGACTTGGCCCAGGAGTTTTATGGATGTTGGAGGCACATCCATGCCCATTAGCTCCATGAGTCTCCTCCCTGGCTTCTCCAGGAACGTGTTGGCCTCCTCTGGAGACCACTGAAGTCCCAGATAGATCCCTGAACTCCTCCAAGGGACTTGGCCAAGGAGTTTTATGGATATTGGAGGCACATCCATGCCCATTAGCTCCATGAGACTCCTCCCTGGCATCTCCAGGAACGTGTTGGCCTCCTCTGGAGACCACTGAAGTCCCAGACAGGAGCCTCAGACTTCTCCAAGGGAGGTAGCCAAGGAGTTTTATGGATGTTGGAGGCACATCCATGCCCATTAGCTCCACAAGTCTCCTCCCTGGCATCTCCAGGAACGTGTTGGCCTCCTCTGGAGACCACTGAAGTCCCAGATAGATCCCCAAACTCCTCCATGGGAGGTGGCCAAGGAGTTTTATGGATATTGGAGGCACATCCACGTCCATTAGCTCCGTAAGACTCCTCCCTGGCATCTCCAGGAGCATGTTGGCCTCCTCTGGAGACCACTGAAGTCCCAGATAGGAGCCTCAGACTCCTCCAAGGGAGGTAGCCAAGGAGTTTTATGGATGTTGGAGGCACATACATGCCCATTAGCTCCACAAGTCTCCTCCCTGGCATCTCCAGGAGTGTGCTGGCCTCCTCTGGAGACCACTGAAGTCCCAGATGGAAGCTCTAGATTCCTCCAAGGGGGTGCCTAAGGAGTTTTGTTGATGTAGGAGGCACATCCATGCCCATTAGCTCCACGAGACTCCTCCCTGGCATCTCCAGGAGCGTGTTGGCCTCCTCTGGAGACCACTGAAGTCCCAGATAGGAACCTCAGACTCCTCCATGGGAGGTAGCCAAGGAGTTTTATGGATATTGGAGGCACATCCAAGCCCATTAGCTCCACGAGTCTCCTCCCTGGCATCTCCAGGAGCATGTTGGCCTCCTCTGGAGACCACTGAAGTCCCAGATAGGAGCCTCAAACTCCTCCATGGGAGGTAGCCAAGGAGTTTTATGGATATTGGAGGCACATCCATGCCCATTAGCTCCATGAGTCTCCTCCCTGGCATCTCCAGGAGCGTGTTGGCCTCCTCTGGAGACCACTGAAGTCCCAGATAGGAACCTCAGACTCCTCCATGGGAGGTAGCCAAGGAGTTTTATGGATGTTGGAGGCACATCCATGCCCATTAGCTCCATGAGACATCTCCACGCATGACATTGCACAAGGAAGGGAGCACAAACTCCATGACTTTGGTATCTGCTGGTCTCTGGGGGATGCTTGACTGTCTTGGGCAACCATGGGTCCCTCACACGAGCTGGTGAGAACCAGGGATGAACGTGTCTCCAGGCTCCACACCTTCTACCAAGCCCTCACCCCGTCGCCCTCAAGCTTTTTGGCATATTTTGAAGGTCCTGCTCCATCCTCGGAGGCAACCAAGCTCCAGAGCAACGCGCTGGGAGCTCTTGGGGCTGGTTTTTGGGGTTTTTTTTTCTTGTTTTGTTTTTCTTTGAAGGATTAATAACGGCGTTTTTTCCTGCATAGATCACGGCGGCGGCGGCAGCCGCTCAATGGGAAATCAATTCCTGCGCCGGGCGCTTGACAGGGCAATAACCCCAAATGTTAATCTCAAGCACCCAAGGAGGATTTGTGTCATGGTGCTGGAGATCTGCTGCCAGAGACGGAGCGAGGAGAGGAACTGCCCCAGGAACTGCTTATTTATTTTTTTTTTTATTATTTTTTTCCTTATCTTTCTCTCTTTTTTTATATTTTTTTAATTTTTTTATTTTATTCATCGAGAGAACTGGTGCTTTTGAAGGGTCTCTGGTCTGGCAGGAGGAGGGTTGATGCCACCAAGAGTGTGAGAAATGCTCCTTATTACTGTCTCCATCACTTAGATCCCTCCGTTACGGCCATAACCCACCGGTTTCTGGAGGATAATTTGGGGTTTACCTATTTTTGGTGAGGCTACAACCAGCCTGTCCTTGCCCGTGGTCCTCTTGGACCACCACAAAGCCCCCTCTGCCCTCCTGGATGGCCATGGTGCCACGAGGAGCTTTGAACCCATCGGTCTGGAAGGCTTTGGTGAACATCTGGGCAATGGTGGTGGAGCTCTTCGAGGAACCAATGCTTGAAGGGGCCCTCTCTGCCCCCCAAAAAGAGCCCAAATGGGGGAACGTCCCACGTCTCAGCCTCTCCAGGACCAAGCCCAACATCCAAGAACCACTGAGCCAAGAACCTGGACTCTCTGAGAGTCCCTGGAGCCTGCCCAAGGGGCAACGGGCTGTGATAGAGGGGTGGGATGGAGTCATGAGGTGACAACAACTTCACCTGTGCTCATGGGGGTCATCAGACCCCGTGGGTCAGACCCAAAACCACAGCAGAAGGTTGGCAGAGGGTCACAGGCTGTTGAGTTATGCATGGGCAGCCCGACAGAATCATGGAATCAAGGAATGGTTTGGGTGGGAAGGGACCTTCAAAGCCCCCCCAGTGCCATCCAGGGACACCTCCCACCACACCAGGTTGCTCCAAGTCCCCTCCAACCTGGCCTTGAACCCCTCCAGGGATGGGGCAGCCACAGCTTCTCTGGGCAACCTGGGCCAGGCTCTCACCACCCTCCCACCAAACAAGTTCTTCCCCACATCTCAGCTCCATCTCCCCTTTTCCAGTTTAAAACCATTCTCCCCAGTCCACACCAGTTCTCCAGCCCTCTCAGCATCTCCGTGGCCTCCTCTGGCGCTGCTCCAACAGGTCCATAGGCTGCCCCAGCCCAACCTCCCCACCACGAGGCATCTCCTGGGGCTTCTATGGATGGAAGTTTCCATCTGTGATCCCTGGGAGATGTTGGGGCTTCTTCATCCTCTGCCACCCGAAATAAAACCACTTGGGGGTGGGGAGAAATGGGACCCGTGTCCTTGTTCCTCATGTTTTGGCCACATCCCCTGGTCCCTGCTCACGCCGCTGGTGGTGTCCCCGGTGTCGTTGCAGGGCAGGCTGACGGACGGGAAGGGGAAGACCATCGACTGCAAAGATGCCATCTTCATCATGACCTCCAACGTGGCCAGCGAGGAGATCGCCCAGCACGCCCTGCAGCTCCGGCAGGAGGCCCTGGAGATGAGCAAGAGCAGGATCGCCGAAAACTTAGGTATTGGGGGGGGGTGGAGCATGTTTTTTGATGTCTTACCCCAATTTCCTACAGCATCCACCTCCTTCCAGCATCTCTGGTTTCATCTGACCCCAGCTCAGCCCTTCCTCTGCCAGGGATGTGTTCAACAAACTTGAATATAAGAAGTTCCACCTAAACATGAGGAGGAACTACTTCACTTTGAGGGTGGCAGAGCCCTGGAAGAGGCTGCCCAGGGAGGTGGTGGGGTCTCCTTCTCTGGAGACATCCAAAACCCATCTGGACACATTCCTGTGGGACCTGCTCTGGGTGGACCTGCTCTGGCAGGGGGTTGGACTGGATGATCTCCAGAGGTCCCCTCCAACCCCATCTCATTCTGTGATTCTGGGGGAGCTGTGGACTCCTCCAAGGGAGTTGGGCAAGGAGTTTTGTCATTGTTGGAGGCACATCCATGCCCATTAGCTCCATGAATCTCCTCCCAGACCCTTCGGTGCCTCTTAGTTGCTCATCCCTCCCGCCCCTGGAGATGTGGGGAAGCCTCGGAGATGTTCCTGCTGGTCATCTGTGTCTGGGAAATGGTTCTGGGATGATCTCCTGCTGAGAAGTCCCACCCTTTAATCTCCAATGTTCTCCCTCTTGTGTTGAGGGCTGCTTTGGGCTTGTCTTCTTCTGAAATACTCGCTCTTCAGGACCATCTCCTCAAGCTCTTGCCTTTGGAGAAGGATTTCTATCCCTGGAGCCTGTGATGGGGGGGCTGAGAGAGTTGGGGGTGTTCAGCCTGGAGAAGAGAAGGTTCCATGGAGACCTTGGAGCCTCTTCCAGTCCCTCAAGGGGCTCCAGGAGAGATGGGGAAGGACCCTTGATGAGGGAGGGGAGCCCTAGGAGGAGGGGGAAGGGTTTTAAACCAAAAGAAGAGAGATGGAGATCTGGAGAAGAAATTCCCAGGAACCTCAGCATCACCTCGAGGGGAGCAGGTCAAAAAACGCTGGGTTTTGGCCTCAAATGAGTTTTTCCAGCTTCTTTCTCACCGTCTCTTCCTTTTTTCTCCGGAGAAGACGCTGGAGCTGCCTTAATTCAGAACCTTTAAGGCTTCAATCAAAGCAGGGAAAGGACACGCCGGCGTCTGAACTTTCCCCAGTAACATTTGTAAATGCCAAGCGTTTTTTTTTCTGCTAAAGGAGGAAAAGATTGAATTTTAATTTCTGGGAGCGTGGAGGAGGCGGCCGCCCTGGTGGAAAATGCATCTCGGGGGCTCAAAAACCTGCCCTGGGTTGAGTTTCGTGGAGTTTCTCCTCCTGGTTTCCTCAGCTCCAGGGCTGGGAGAAGCTCCTGGAGACAGGGCCAGGAGCTGGGATAAATGGAAGGAGCTGCTTTGGCAGCATCTCCAATCATCTGCTGGGGGGAATCCCCCATCATCCGGCTGGAAAACCCCCCAAAATCATCATAACCCCCCCTTCTGCAGCATCTTCCAGCATCTGCTGGGGGGAACCGTGCATCATCTGGCCAGAAAACCCCCCAAAATTAGGGCCACCTCCATCACTCCTCCCTTCTCCAACGCTCCGTTGACACTGGAAAGCCCCCTCAGGGTCTCGTAGCAGGAAAAAAGGAGGTGAAATGGGCCAAAAATGAAAACCACAGATCCCCCATCTCCTTGGCTCCGTTTACACCTTGGACTCACCTTGTCCCCAACCCAGCGCCAGTGTCCTCCCACCAATTATGGGGGAAAAAGAGGTGATTTTGGAACGTTACCTTGGGTTCTGGCACTGGTGGAACCCAACAGCCCCTTCTGTCGCTGCTGGGGGTGCAATTGTCCTCATCACCAGCTGAGAAGCTCCCACCACCCACCGTGGGTCTTCTCTCCACCTCCCCATGTGTCAGGATCCGGTCCTGGAGCATCTTGGAGGCGAGGAGGGATCTCCCTCTGAGCATCCTGGAGTTAAACGTGTGGAGATGTAGGAAGTAGACACCATCCAGAACCGTGGAGGGGCTGGAGCATGTCCAGAGAAGGGCAACGGAGCTGGGGAGGGGTCTGGAGCACGAGGAGAAAGGTCTAGAGAACTTCTGGGGAGCTGGGGGTGTTGAGCCTGGAGAAAAGGAGGCTGAGGGGAGACCTTCTGGCTCTCTCCAACTCCCTGAAAGGAGGGTGTAGCCAGGGGGGGTCGGTCTCTTCTCCCAAGGAACAGGCCATGGGACAAGAGGAAATGGCCTCAAGTTGCCCCAGGGGAGGTTGAGGATGGAGCTTGGGAAGAATTTCTTCCTGGAAAGGGCTGTGAAGCCTTGGCAGAGGCTGCCCAGGGCAGTGGTGGAGTCACCA